CCGCTGTCCAGCCCACGGCCCCTAGCTGCACTGCCGGCCTGTGTCCTGCCTCAGCCTCACTTCCGGCCCCCTGTGCGTCTGTCCCTGCAGGTTGCCGACTACATTCCACAGCTGGCCAAGTTCAGCCCTGACCTGTGGGGGGTCTCTCTGTGCACAGTGGACGGACAGAGGTGAGAACCGGCTGTGTGTTGCGTGTGCCTGCTGCGGTTTCAAAGCGCCACCTCTTTCCTCGCTGCCCTGATTCTGGGTGCACTGTCCGTGCTGCTCTGTCCCCTAGAGCACAGCCCAGGTCAGAGCGTTTTTACTGCATTGCAGGGCTGCATCTTTCACTGAAACCAGCTTCCTGGAATCCCTCAAGAAACGGCTGGATGGGAGAACAAAAGTGTAGGATGTTTCTTGCGCTTCTGAGCTTTTGTTCATTGGGAAATTGTTTCTTTACGATCTTTGGAGGATGGACACATCTTCCTTTTATTGTACCGTTTTCTGCTCTTGCCACTTCCTGTACTTGATCTCCCCCTCCCTCCCCCTCCTGAGTGTTCCTCTCTCTTGTGGTCTCTCGCAGGCACTCTGTGGGCGACACCAAGGTGCCTTTCTGCCTGCAGTCCTGCGTGAAGCCCCTGGAGTACGCCATTGCGCTGCACGAGGCGGGCACGGAGCGCGTGCACAGATACGTGGGCAAGGAGCCTAGCGGGCTAAAGTTCAACAAGCTGTTCCTCAATGAGGAAGGTCAGTCTTCTCCGCCTTTTTGCTGTGGATGTTTCTAAAATCTGTGGTCCTAGAGCGGTGGTCAGGGGAACAGAACAGTGTAGCATGCTGGGTAAGTCTCTGGACTCATAATTGATAGGCTGTGGGCTTGAGCCCTTATAGCAGACACTGCTGTTGTACCCTGAGTGAGAAACTTCACCCCAGTTGTTCCAGATGCAGTCTGTCTGGATGGGGCCCATCCATGGGCACATGTTCCCACTGAAAGGTGAATGGCCACCACCTGGACATTCTATCCATCCCTCAGGACATCTTCAAGAGCTCTTGAAACAGAAGCACTATTTGCAATAATACAAATATGATGATTGTGTAAATTAATATTTTTTTATGCCTCATATGGTTTTACAAGGCTTACCCAGTCAAACAGGCTTATTCATTTCCACTTCCTTATTTCCTTCATACCCTGACTAGTTTGCTTCATCATTAAAGTAGAGACTTCATTTAAGTAAATTAACAAAAAAAAAAGGATACTAGAAACATCACAGAGGGGTCACCTAGACCTTCTGAAACGAGACCCTGAAGCAGATAAGGCCTGGCATGTGGTCATCCACAGCATGAGCAATGCAGATGAGCAGGGTTCCTCACAATTTTTTTCAACAGTCCACCCAGTTTCTCTGACATTGCTGTCATTGCTGAAAACAAGTACAAACATCAAACAGCAGTCATTCATTTCATAGAGTCACATACCCATGAAACAATCCAGCTCATGCACCCTGCACCCCTCATTCCAGGAATTGCTTCTGTGCCCCATCACTGGCACAGCTTGGTGTGTGGGCATTCAGCAGCCCTGGTGCCCATCTGCACACTGAAGGGAATGGATGAGCAGCACATCCCCACAGAGTGCTGTAACTGGGATGTGTGGGTGCACTCAAGTCAGAAGAACTGGTACAACAAGGTGACAAGGTCTCACAACCTGTGATGAACAAAACTTGTCCTCTTCTGGGATTGCGGTCTGAGAGGCATCTCCCAACCATGGGTCACACACCGTCCTCTCCACACACAAACCTAGGCTGTGGAGGTTCATAGGGGATAATGTCACTGAGTGAATATATCAGGGTCAGGCTTTTCCACACAGTGTTAAGGCAGCTGTATCTAACTGTCGTTTGGCCATGCTCTCCATTTTTTTCTTTCAGATAAGCCCCACAACCCAATGGTGAACGCAGGCGCAATTGTCATCAGCTCTCTTATCAAGGTAAAGATGACCCAGTGAGCGAGACAGCTTGAACTGTAGATTTGTATGCTTGCGCATGACACCTCCATCGCATGTCAGCTGGCGCTGAGCAAACAGCCGTCCCACACTGCTGTGTGGGACTGACAGATCCAGCCAGGTCCACAACCCTGTGGAGATAAGTGCTGCGTCACAAGCATGACGCTGCCCAGAGCAGCAGTGCTCAGCACCTCAGCCTCTCCGATCAGCAACAAGAGCTCTTCCATCAGCCAGTGCAAGCACACAGAGGAATATTTCTCTTTTGCACAAAAGTGCTAGGGGTCTGCACTCAGCCCCATTGTCAATATGTAACTGACAATGCACCAGCCCTCTGCAGCAAAAGAGCAGCCTCCTGCTGCAGGAGACTTGGACACTCTCTGGGGTCCTGGGGAGTCTCAGCCCCGTGTCAGAGGGAGGGCAAGGCCTACAGCCCATAGGCCTCGGTTCCAGCTGGGGACTGTGCCACCTGGGAATCCTGCATCAAAGCAGTCCCCTTTCATGTAAGCCATCACTGGCACTGCTTGGTGTGTGAGCACCAAGTGTCACTGGCGCAGTCCCGGAGGTATTTCTTGGTGGGTTTTAGTTACAGGGTTAAGGGGTAGGGCTGGAATATGTACTGTGTTCAGAACACTGCAGGACTTCTATTCTGAATGACTGCAGGGGTTTATTGATATGTGCAGACACACCTTGCATCTTCAAAGGTCTACAATTTGCAACAACTATGTCAGCCATGAGCAGGAGGGTGTTGTGGCAGGAGCTGCACATGCTGGTGTCCCACTGGCTGATCAGGACCTGATCGCCCAGCCCCTGGACAGCGCCTCCCAATGAGCTGTTTTTCTGTTACAGTAACCTCTGCCACACTCCTCTTTCTGTTTTTTCCATTGACTTTTTTATTTGTTGCGCACTGACCTTGGCCTCAGCAAGGGGCAGGTATGGGGGGGGCTGGAGATTGGGGCAGAGGCAGGGATGAAGAAAGAGTGAGAGAGGGCATGGGAGGGGTAAAACACAAGGATGAGAGAAAGAGAGCAGGAGTGGTGCAGAAATGCAGGGAGAGAGAGAACAAGCAGCTCAGAAAAGGAGGAGGGAGAAGGCAGGAAGAGGGGGAGAGAGTGGAGAGGACAGAGCTGGCACACACATCTTTTCCTCAGACCTGTCCCATGAGTCTTAGTGGTTACAAAGCCCACGCTTGTCCGGAGCCACTAGATGCAGGAAAGCGAATCCTCCTCCGAAATCCCAGCATGAAGCACCCATGACGAAAGGCTGTCACATCGCATCAATACCCCTACACCCCCAGGACACAGGCCTGTGCTGCTGCAGCCAGACTGCCGAGACACTCAGCCACGCTCTCCAAGGGGGGCAATGGTGCCAGTTGGATGAGCGGAAGGACTGGTGGACAGTGCCTGACACGATGGCAGTCCGTGACCAGGCTTGCTGTTTGCTGGTGGGCTTCATCTTTCCACACCGTTTCAGTCAGCACCTTGACCAGCTCAGGGGATAAGAGGGCAAACAGCAGAAGGGTTCCTTCTGCGCTGAACTGAAAGAGCGAAATCGCAGTGTGCTGGCTGCAAAGCCTGCTTCAGTCATGTGGCTGCTGTGTTCTTCTGACATTACACATGATCACCAGAAAGGGAAAACCCCAAAACGGCAGCGTTAAAATCTGAAATGTAATAACCCTCTTAAATCTTTTGGTTTAAAGCTGACTTGCATTTCCTAACTTCAGCTACACCATGGGCAGGGGCTTGTCCTTTAGAAAGACTTCATAGCTGGCAGAGAACTTAAGCAAGACTGATACCTTATCCATGGAATCTCCATGCACTGAGCTCAGTGTCCCTAGTTTATTCCGGTTACTCCTTCAGCTTCCATCCAGAATTTAAGAACTGGGTTCTAATGCTTTAGCAGTTAACTCACCCATTACCCTGCTGCTGAATCTGTAATGGGGACTGTAATGCCCCCTTATGGCCCCCTTCACATTGCACTATTTTGAACAGTTGTATAAAAATGAAATGCTTTCCCTAGCTCAATTATAATAATAATTAATAATAATAATTGCTTACACTTATATAGTGCTTTTCTGGACACTCCACTCAATGCGCTTTACAGGTAATGGGGACTCCCCTCCACCACCACCAGTGTGCAGCCCCACCTGGATGATGCGACAGCAGCCATAGTACGCCAGAACGGTCACCACACACCAGCTCTCAGTGGGGAGCAGAGCAGAGTAATGAAGCCAGTTCATAGATTAATTAAGAAAATTAAAGGGGAACTGCAAGGCTATTTCTATATTTTGGGATTAGAATGAATCAGCATTGATGAGTGCATTTCAAACCACAGTGAAAGTAAAACGTTCACAGAAGCTTGTGAAATCTACAATTTACATCACAAAATAAATTACATTTCCAGGTACTGTATGTGCAGCGCCATATTCTGTGATTCATTGTTAGGTGATGTGTTGTGGCCTCATGACATTGCAACCAAGTGGGCTAGTGAATCCATCTCTTTTAATCCAATAGAAATATTGCTCTTAATTTCAAGACGGTTTTACTGATAAATGGAACTCTCCATGCAGATCACATTGGAAACTTTCTGCAGTGAAATATCTGCTGCACAACCGGTCCTTAATTCGCTCGTACATCACATGACATTAGTCATTACAGCGATTAGCAAGCAGGAAGGGCCACGTCACAATTAGGTGGGAATTCCAATTCCCACCCTATGCAGATGGTATACCAAGATGGTATACAATGGGAATTACGTCACAATTGGTGGGAATTCTCGCTCTTGCCCGTGATGAGACTACAAGTGTATGCGACAACATGGTGACCCACAGTACTTTCACAAAGTTCACGATGTTGCGCTTAATTAGACATTTGTAAACTTTTTTCTAGACTGTCAATGCATTTATTTTGTTACCGAGATTTAATAATCGGTTTGAGAAACTGGGATTGCGGTTTCCCTTTAAATAGTTATAAATGTGAAGAGTAAGATACAAATGAGTGATTCTGTCTCTGTTCTACTTTTTCTCCGCAGCCTGGCTCGAACAAGGCTGAGAAGTTTGACTGCGTGAGTAATCTCCATGCTCGTTTCAGCATTAGTATCGCAGCAGCTCAGGCTAGCTTGCTCTTGCGCCTGAGGGCCTGACTGTTGTCCTCTCTCAGGTGATGGAGTTCCTCATGAAGATGGCGGGCAGAGAGTTCGTGGGCTTCAGCAACGCCACGTAAGTGCCACTTCCTGGCTGGTCTAGGGGAATGGCTTTCAAATGCAGCCTCCAGCAATGCCTTGTGAGGCCAGAGACAGGCCACTATGGCAATCCCAGTGCGCAGTCCCAGTAGAACTGAATACAATGATAGTAGGGTGGCACAGCGGTATGGCCCTGGGTTCAGTTCCTGGAGAGCTGTCTGTGTGGAGTTTGCGTGTTCTCCCTGTGTTCACGTGGGTTTGCTCCATGTGCTCTGCTTTCCCCCTCCACAGTCCAAAGACATACTGGTAGGTTTACTGGGAAAATTGGCCTGGGTACAAGTGCATGCGTCTGCCTTGCCGTGGACTGGCATCCTGTCCAGGGTGTACCCCGTCTTGCACGTGGTGCTTGCTGGGACAAGCTCCAGCTCCCATGCAACACTGTATTGCAGGCAGAAAAAGGATGGATGGTCAATGACAACTAGGATTACTGACTTATATAAATGAACTAAAATGGTTCATTGTAATTAGTTGGGGTGTTTAATTAGCTCTACTTTGTCTATGCTGCCAAGATACAGATCGAGAGTGCACTATTTGAAAGGGAGTTTTGCATTTAGATCTGGAATGACAAGATACAGTAAAGACCTGAGGTAAAGTTTCAAAAAATTCCCCTTTATACTATTAGTATTAAACAGTGTGTTTTCTCAGCAAAGGATTCATTGATGACTTTACCTTCTAGTTTTTCTTAAGCTAAATCCTCCGTGGAAGTAGCATTAAGTTCAGACGGCATAAAACAGTGAATAGTCTTATTTAAAGGATTTTATTGACTGAAAAGCCACCAATGCATTTGGCCTCCACTGGAACTAATCCAGTATCAATGAATGTGGTTTGCAGGTTCCAGTCGGAAAAGGAGACAGGCGACAGGAATTTTGCGATAGGATATTACCTCAAGGAAAAAAAAGTAAGTGTTCTGGGAAAGGACTGAGGCTTCACAGCCTTCCTGACTCACTGCTGCCATCTGCTGTTCGGGCCTAGGAAAAGAAAGGCAAAATGTGTTCTCTGGGGTGTTCTGACCGTTATTGAGCAACACCAGGCACACGCTGGCTCGATCTTATTGCCTTAGCATGGGATTTTGAAACAGTGGCTGCCAGGCTCTCGGGCTAACGTAATCCCATTTTTTCTGATGAATTTCCCCTCGGACCAACAAACATCCATTAATACCCAAGCTGCCACAGATGTTAGTCCAAAATATTTCACTAAAAAATCACCAGCCTCCCTATGCCGCACTCTAACTCCCATCTCCCTCCACTCTTTGTGTAGTGCTTCCCGAGTGGAGTGGATATGATTGCTGCGCTGGACTTCTACTTCCAGGTCAGTTTCCTGCTCCTTGTCCCTACACTCCTGTCCCTTCACATACCACGCTCATAGCCCCTGATTAAAATACTTTGCTGTCAGTGAATTATCATGCTCTTTTCAAACTTTACCCTGTTCTGTGATAGCTTAGTCTCTGTATTTGCAATTAGTTTTATCCACCATGCAGTCAAGGCCAAGTTTCCCTGCTGCATTGCTCAAGTTAAACTGTTCGCACCTTACGCAGAACTCATGAATGAATCCACTCCTCTAGTTGTCACCCGAGTGCCATTGTGCTGAGTGATTGGTCTTTAATTCATGATGTCTCCCTTCCAGCCTGGCAGTGAAATATAACAAGATCTAACATGTTGGCTCCTGCCTACAAGCCTGCAGTTTGCAAGGCTTCTACTTCTCAAACTAGTAAGACAAAAGCAACTGTACTGTAGGAGGCGGGGATCTCTCACGCAGAGTGTTTGTCCTGTTTCTGTCTAGATTTAAATATTTAAATTCTATGGGGATCTCTGTTTACTTCAAACATCAATAGGGAAGCCCTGGGATTAACTCATCTTTAAATTGCTGCGCACTTGGGCTGGAAGTGTTGTGCTGGAGTGTGCATTACTGGACTGTGCAGTGCTAACTGTATGTGTAACTGTATTGGACTGTGCTATGCTGGACTGTGCTGTACCAGACTGTACAGTGCTGTGCTGGACTGTGTAGCTCTGTGCTGGACTAGACTGTAGTGTGCTGGGCTGGACTGTGTAGCTCTGTGCTGTACTAGACTGTACAGTGCTATACATTACTGTGTAGCTCTGTGCTGGACTGTGCTGTACTAGACTGTACAGTGCTGCGCTGGACTGTGCTGTACCAGACTGTGCAGTCTAGTGAAACATGCTGCTCTTTCCCCAGCTCTGCTCCATCGAGGTGACGTGTGAGTCTGGCAGCGTGATGGCAGCCACACTGGCCAACGGGGGCATCTGTCCAATCACAGGCGAGCGGGTCCTCAGCGCAGAGGCGGTGCGCAACACTCTGAGCCTCATGCATTCCTGTGGCATGTACGACTTCTCAGGGCAGTTTGCCTTTCACGTGAGTGACCCCCATAACTACCCCCCGACCTTAACCCCCATCATCCCCATAACCAGCTCCCTGACCTTAGCCCTCATCATATCCCCTAAACTAACCCCCTGACCCTAACCCCCATCAGACCCCCAAAACTAACCGCCTGACCTTAACATCCATCAGACATTGACCCATTAGGCACTGTAGGCACAGTGTCTAGGGCCTACGAACGTTTTAGGGCCTACAAAGGAGGGAAACACTAGTGCCGAACAAAAAACGAGCTGAAACAACATGCGCTATCTATCTAGTTACTACTAGAAGTATCGAAGTGATGGTTGCTCGACACACTCGATCAATCACGTGGTTTAGCATTAGAATAGTTTAAGGTGCATCGTGTCAATCGATGTAATTCAATTGGCATTTACCTCTCTTTTTGCACATTTCAGAGTGAAAGTGCCTAGGGCCTACAAACACCAGAATCCGGCCCAGCCATCGGACCCCCAACACTAAGCCCCTGATACTAACCCCCATCAGATCCCCAAAACTGTCAACACACTTGCATGTACTGTATTTGACTTTGGGTACATAGTAGTGGTTCCTGTACCAAAAACAAAACCCAGCGACGTGGTCCTGTTGTTTCTCAGGTGGGCCTTCCTGCGAAGTCGGGGGTCTCCGGGGCTGTTCTGCTGGTGGTGCCCAACGTTATGGGCCTGATGTGCTGGTCACCACCACTGGACAAGGTGGGCAACAGTGTCCGGGGAATCCACTTCTGCCAGGTAAGCACATCCCTGCTATGAGCACAACCACCTGACCGCTCCCGTCTACTGTGGTGGAAGATTTGGTACTTATCTAGAAACAAAATACCAGCCATCTCTTTTTGCATCTTAGTTTCCCTATTTGACTTCTGCAGTCGTCTTTTTTTTTCCAAATTAAAATTATGCACACCTGCTTGTCCAGAGAATGACTTTCTGAACTGCACCTCTGCCAAGACAGAAACTGGTGTGTGATCGTATTTCTTTGGATGCCTTCATAAAATGGGTGCAACATCTGGCAACATCTGTAGAGCCTACACACATCCCTACAGCTGTCCACGCATTACTCAGGACCTTTCAGAAACACTCCTAGAAAAAGTCAAAGTTCTGAGTGACCTCTGCTACAATGCATACTAAAGGTTGCCTCACCTATGCTGCAACACGTACCAAAGGCTGTCTAGTACATATTACGTGTACTGTACTTAAGGTCGTGTGACTTTTGCTGCAATGCAAACTAAAGGTCACACGAGCTTTAGTATGTACCAGACAACCTCTGCTGCATGCCAGCGGTCATGTGATCTTTGCTCTGACGTGTTAAAGGTCATGTGACCGTTGCTGCAGTAAAGGGTCATGTGATCACTGCTCTGTTCTTAAGATCACATGACTCTTGCAGGGCGCTGTGACGCTTTCTAAAGGTCACATGACCTCTGCCATGTCCCAGAGGTCTCTGAAAAGGAGAATGAGTGTCGGCACAGCTGTTCCGCTAGGAGTCGGCCGCGGTTCTGTGAGAGAACATCTGACGCTCTTCCACAGTCACAGCGTTGCAGGTGTCACTGCGATTCGCTGTCTCCCTTAGGAGCTGGTGTCCTTATTCAACTTCCACAACTACGACAACCTGAGACACTTCGCCAAGAAGCTGGACCCCCGGAGGGAGCCGGGAGACGTGCGGGTACGAGGGCGAGAAGGGGCGGCTGGGGAAGGGGTGTCAGACGCTGTGGTGAGGGAGATCACATGCGCACCCCAACAAGGCTACTGAACCTGGAGCTCATTTCAAATTTACCCTTCACTGAGAGACAGACATCTGTTGTGTGGGACACCTCTGGAATAACTGACTGACAGGGACAGCCTCGGCAAAAAGAGCCCTTCTGGCCTGTGTGGAAACATCCGTGTAGAGGATCTGATACACATACAGTACCTACATAGTCATAGCAGACAGGAGAGGGAGCAGGGCTGCACTTAGATTCTAGAAGCACCCTGAAGGCAGAGCATTGAGGAAGATGCACTCCGGAAGATGGGCTTTTTTAGAACAAATTCAAACTCATTTCACACCTTCGCTGAACTGCGCTGTGACCTCTTGCACCCCACCCCCCACCACAATAGGTCGATCCTTTTCGGGCTTTGTGAGCTGGTGGCTGTTGAGCAAGGCGAACTCATGATGCAGGACAGAGATGAAGTTAATATTAACTCCCCGTGCCGTCTGTACACATTCAAGGTCACAATTCTGAAAGAGGGATCTAGGGCTCTGGTGTTGGCCTGTGTTCAAGAGCCAGTAGTGTGCAAAACATAACGTGAACTTGAGAGTGTTGCAGCTTTGTAAGGATTAACCAATAGAAAATGAGCAGCTGTCCTTTGGCATATTACTGGATTCTGGTTTTACTGCCTTGAAAGGTCACTAACCCCACCTGTAGTGATTAGGTTTACATTTGACCTCCCACTTTAGACAACAAAAAAGATCATCTTAAGACAGAAGTGTCCCAAATCCAAGACGCTGAATTCTACAGACTGTACCCCCTCTCTCGCAGGCAGTGGTCGGCCAGTGTCAGATTCAGCTTCAGGCCTGGTACCATGCAGCCAAGCACAACTTAGCCATTAAGGCAGGTCTGGCATAGTGCCTGACAGACGGCCCAGCAAGAGAAGGACTAGGATTTTAATCGTCTCTCAAGCTGAGTTTTTATTTCTCCTTCTCTTCAGAACAAATCAGTGGTCAACCTACTCTTTGCTGCCTACAGTGGAGATGTCTCTGCTCTAAGAAGGTAGGCAATTATTAATCATTTTATTTATTTGGCCAATGCTTTTATCGAAAGACATTTAAATTTGTACCCATTTATACTGCTGGGTATTTTACTAGAGCGATTCAGGTCTGGAGAGAAGCACTCTCCCTTCTCCCCGGCAGGTTTGCCCTCTCCGCCACGAACATGGAGCAGAAGGACTACGACTCCCGCACAGCCCTGCACGTGGCTGCCGCTGAGGGTGAGTTTACCTGGACAGGCATTTCCTTCTACACCAGCTGCCCCTCCCACAGATGGCTGGGGTCTGGGGGGGGGGGATCAGGACGGCTGGCCAACCTCTTTCCCTGCCCCACCTCCACCCAGACGCAGGCCAGTTGCCGACCCACCGCGGCCAGGGCAGGACCTCGCAGAGGAAGAGAAGAACACAGGCCAAGAACACATGCTAAAAACCTCGCTCGTACATGACTGAACGGCAATCAGCTGGCGTGTCCCGCGTCCCCCCTCAGTTACTACCCAGCCTGTCTCTCTCCGCAGGTCACGTGGAGGTGGTGCTGTTCCTCACCGACACCTGCAAGGTCAACCCCTTCGTCAAGGACAGGTAACCACAAGGACCTCCCCCGACTCCTCCACCCCGCTGTGAGACGCGAGGGAACGCAGACTGTCACAGGCAGTCTTGCAGTTAACACGCTCCCTTTGAGCTGAGGTCTGAGGTCCTTTAAAATAATAAGAAAGAATAATAATTCCTTACCCTTTTCTGGAGATTCCACTCAAAGCGCTTTACAGTTAATGCGGACTCCCCTCCACCACCACCAGTATATAGTCACCACCTGGATGAGGCAGCCAGAGTGCGCCAGTACCCCTACCACACACCAGCTATCACTGGGGAGGAGAACAGAGACATGAAGCCAGTTCATAGATGGGGATTACTAGGAGGCCATAATTGGTAAAGATCAAAGAGAAATTTGTCCAGGACATCAGGGTAACTAACCTCTTTTAAAGAAACAACCTGAGATTTTTAATGACCACAGAGAGATGACCAGGACCTCTGTTTTACATTTCATCTGAAGGATGACACCTTTTTAGACTATAGTGTCCCTGTCACTGTACTGGGGCATTAGGGACCCACATAGAACGCAGGGTGAGCACCCCCTACTGGCCCCATGAACACCTCTTCCAGCAGCAACGTTGGTTTTTCCCAGGAGGTCTCCCATCCCGATACTGACCGGGCTCACACCTGCTGAGCTTCAGTGGGCTGCCAGTTGCGAACTGCCGCTGGCACATCACTTAAAGCAGAGCTCAAGGCTTTTTAAAGGTCCCTTTTCCTTTTGAAAAGCTTAATAATGACCCTCTCTCCACCCCCCCTTCTCAGATGGGGCAACATCCCGCTGGACGACGCAGTGCAGTTTGGGCATGAGGCCGTGGTGAAGGTCCTGAAAGAGTACCAGCAGCACTACTCCCCACGAGAGCCCAACTCCGAAGCTGAGGACCGGGGCAAGCTGGAGACGCTGGAGGGCATGGTGTGAGCGGGCCCGGGCCCGGGAAGGGCTGTGCCAGTCCACCCCCCCACCCCACCCCAACCTCTCTTCCTTTCCTAGCTCCCAGTTCCGATTGTGCACAGCAGGTCCAATCGCACAGGCCCAAGTCAGGTGGCCGCAGCTGGAGTGGGGTACGCTGGCAGCACCAGGCCCAGACCCGAGAGGCAGAGCCAGCCGGGCCAGGAATGACCCAACCCCTCCCCGCTCCTTCCAGAAGCACATAGAGAACTACAATCGCTAAGAAAATATAAACCGCTGGCACACTTGTACAGTTACGAAGCCTGATTTTTCTATTTATTTTTCTAACCAGAACGCTATACTATAGGTGTGATATATTCCTCGTGTATATTTATATTCATATATAAAAGATGTTGAGATATGAAAGTGCCTTGTAAATTCAGCTTAATATTCTATTCCAATTAACACAAGCCCATTCTAGTGCACCCAGCTGTTTGAGTGTAAATATACTGTTCCATTGATCTGCACTTAGATTGGGGCTAGATGCGCAATACCCTAGCTAAAGGGTTGAGGCAACACAGAAAAGTGTTCATGTAAAATGTAAGCAGCTCAGGGCAGCCGTGAGGCTAGCAGACAGGAGATTCTTTCTTCACCAACTGTCCCTTTTTCAGAAGGGATAGGAGTGTGACTGGTTGTTGCTGTATTTCTCTCAGAAGTCTGCAATATCTCCTTCAACTAAAGAGCAGACAGAGATGTGTCTAATTTACTTCTACAACTCTTCAACCCAAGACAATAGGACAATAGGAAGACAAGGTGTAGGTTCAGGTGTAGGGTGCACAGGTGTAGGAATCTATCATGTTCAAAATGTGCAATTTTCACCAAAATGAAGCTGAATACTGCTACAAATAAACTGCAGAAAATGCAAAATAACAGCAACATAGTGATCAATTGTGTCACCTCACACCAACTGCTTTATCAGTATCAGCACTGGTTTTTAAACATCACATGCACAAATAGGAATATTTCTCTATGGATTTCAAATTCAATGGTGATTGTACATACTGTTCTAATATAAATAAATATGAGCAATATGAAAGCGTTTTGCATGCATTCTTCTTCCATCACAGATTAGTAAAGGGGAGTTTACAGTGGTTAAATAATGAGCATAGCATCTGCACTTTTACAGAGCTGGAATAACTGCACTGGTTTGCAGAGTATTTAAGGCGTTTTAAATAAAAGAACACTGCCCTTAGTCTTAAGATGCAGGTTTACTTTAAGACAGTAATACCCTGTCCTACAAACTGCTGTGTGTCTTGAATTTAAGTCATACAATAAGCAAATGAAGAAATTGGACAGTGGATATGAAACACTATTCTGTGGTCTGAGGATCCAGTGATGTTAAACTATAACCCACAGTGTCCACTTAAACTAAAAAATTGAAAAAACATTGAAAAAATGGCACAATTAAAATGATTTTTCTTCCAATTACACTCTACAAGCCTGAAATTGTCAAAATCCTGCAATTAATGAAACTCATTAATACTCAGAAGTGGTGTTCTTCTTCTTCTTCTTCAATGAGGAAGTAATTTTTTTACACAAACGGTGGTAGGTGTCTGGATCTAGATGTCAATCTAAGTTGTTGAAACTGGGACACTACAAGACCCATCTGGATGAGATCTTTGGAACAATAAATAGGCCGTCAAACATGCAGAGTACCCAGATGGCCTCCTCCGGCTTGTAATATTACATTTTTGTGAAAACTTATTCCTACAATGCCAATACATATCAGAGCTCAACAATAAAAGACAACTGAGGATGAATGATTCAGTATTCAAGCAGGACTTTACACAGTTGAAAGTGGGTTTAATATCAATGTCAAAACAGGAGTACAAAAAAATCTCAATTACCATCCAGCTACATAGCCATTCTGTTGTAATTCATCGTAGTGTGATAACCATTTTATCTTACTCATCTGAAAAGCATATACATTTAGTGTAATAAACCATATGTTTGTTATTGCCATGTGAGAGTGGGGGTAGTCACAGCCATGATCTCAGATTAGCATGGTCAGTCCTGATGAGAGACTTCACAATGTATCGAACTGTCTGGTTTTAGCATAATGCTGATTGAATAAGCTGGACCTTCACTGAAAGCTGTCATTTAAATAATAACGAGCTCTACATTTGCCTTTTTCCATTGCTTTGTCAAACTATGCGCATGATTTGCATGTATTCTATGCACTTCATAATTCTTTCCTATCCTACCAGCTTCTGCAATCAAATCAGGTGAAGTTAGCACTGCACTAATATAGAGAAAAGCAATAAACTAGAAGCCCAACTATTTCTACCAAAGATAAGAATCAGGGCAAAGCACAACTATTGATGAGGGCCCTAGTGTACAAACACACCCTAGAACACTGATGTTTCTCACACAGTCTAAGTCAGATTATTCCAAGTCGCATTTTTAAAAATGGGAAAAAAAAACACCTTGCGATCACAGCTTTTATTTCAGGCTTGAAGAGGGGCAAAAGCAAGCCAGACTGCACCTGGGCAATAAGTAGCTGCAGCAGCTGCAGGCCTGCGTCTTCTCCTCCACTAACCGAAGAAACTGAACCCCGTGTGTGCAGTCATGAGCAGAAACTGTCAGAGCCCATTATGGCAACACGGAGTCACTAAATACAAGCACTGACATGCCCAGTGAGGAGCCCGGCAGTCATGTTTAACGCAGAGAGGAATGACAGCCATGCAGTCATTTAAGAGATCACCTTGCATAACATATTATGATTGAAATGATCTGGAAAACATGGCCGGCCTCACACTATCACTTAAATGCCCTTTAAATATGAGTCTAATTGTCTTTCCACACATTAATACTGTATGTAGTATCAGAGCGCCATGATTTGCATGTTATCGCGGGTCACAGTGAGACCCGTGTGTCGGTCTCTCATTCAAATTGCCCCCTCAGCCGCCCCCAGCCTCGGTGTCAGGCCCCGGCTCTAACTCATCGCTATGGGTAGCTCGCCGGGCACCTCCAGCTCAGAGTGCGTCAGCAGCTCCCCGTCCCACAGGGCGAAGGCTGGGCACAGGGGGGTCTTGAATACGGCCCTCATGGAGTGCACGATCCTGGGCTTCTCCGTGTCCACCAGCTCCAGCCGGCCCCCCTCGTAGTCCAGAAGCAGGCCCACCCGGTCCGGCTTGCCCACCAGGCCGACGGGCACCATCTCGTTGGTGGTCATGGCGTACCACTTCCGCTGGACATAGCCGAAGACCCAGGAGCTGCTGTTGGTGCCGATGCACTCGTCCCGGGACATCCCCAGGTCAGCCACCCCGATCCGGAACTCCTGGGATTTGCGGACGGTCACCTCCCAGTAATGGCGCCCCCCAGTGACAGAACAGGCCCCCAGCACCACCGCCCACTCTCGGAAACGCTCGGGGTTGTCCGGCACCAAGGTGGGATCCAAGCCCAGGACCCGGTAGATCACCCCCGTGTCCTTCTTGAAGAGATCCAGGCTGCTGTGGGCCGTCCGCTCGTCCAGCTTGAACTTGATGTCTGCGGGGAAGGAGGAGATAAAGGGATTGTTAAATGTAGCTGCAGAGATGAAATATTTATAGATGGAGGCTATTAATATTTCACCAGCACGTCCGAGATGATAAAACTGCTTATAAGATTAAAGTAAAAATAAAATTAATCAATTAACTTCTTAAAGATGTTTAAAGTGTTTATCACCATAACAAGGTTAAAGTAGTTCAGGTGGGTAGCTGCGTCAGCTGCAAAGGAACAAGTAATAGGTTTATTCCATGCTGAAAAAAAGAAGAAAGAAAACACAAAGTTTCTTCAGGTGAAGGCTCCACGGCCGAAACTTTGTGTTTTCTTTCTTCTTTTTTTCCAGCATGGAATAAACCTATTACTTGTTCCATAACAAGGTTATGAGAGCTAACCCTCAAAATGACATGGTACTACTTTTAAAACTTCCTTTAGGGGAAGGGGAGAACCACTTGGAACTGAATGTAACAAAGACAAAGGAACTGGTGGTAGATTTCAGGAGGAAAAAGGTCAGACCTACTCCTGTCTACATCCATGGGAGTGGCGTGGAGATGGTGGACTCGTACAAGTACCTGGGAGTCCACATCGACGATAGACTGGAATGGTCTAAGAACATCGATGCCATTTACAAGAAGGGTCAGAGCCGACTTTACTTCTTGAGGAGGCTCAGGTCCTTCAATGTGTGTAGTAAGATGCTACATATGTTCTATCAGTCAGTGGTAGCGAGTGCCTTTTTCTACGCAGTGGTATGCTGGGGCCCTGGGATTAGAGCAGGGGATTCAAAAAGGCTGAACAAGCTCATCAGGAGAGCAAGCTCTGTCATTGAGTCTGACCTGGACCCCTTGGAGGTAGTGGCTGAGAGGAGAATGGTGTCCAAACTAGAGGCCATCATGGACAACATCTCCCATCCCCTCTATGACAGGCTTGTAGAAATGAAGAGCACGTTCAGCAATAGACTGATTCATCCATGGTGCGACAGGGAGCCCTACAGGAGGTCATTCTTGCCGTCTGCCATAAGACTGTACAACACATCCACCTTGCGTCTGGGCAGAGGCAACATTGACAAGTGACCTGTTTCTGGACTAAACACATCTACTGCTACATCTGCTCTCTTTCTTTTCACATTCACAACCGTTTTTTGTGCAATATATGCCAGGGACACGTGCAATACATTTATATTTATATCTATTTACATCTATATTTATATGTGTTATACGATTTTTCTGCATACTGTTCTGTTCTAGTTTGTTCTTTGTGTGTCCGGGCTGTGAGTAACTCTTTTAGTGCACCCTCACTGTACTGATTGTATTGTAACGCATATGGCCGACAGGTACTGTGTAAGAGCCGGTTTACCAGAGCAGGTGACGTCACCGCCCTTCCCAGTAATAGCAGCCCCTGGGCTGTGGAGAGATCTCTCTTTGGCTCACCGAGCTGGGTCCCTGCTGAGTGACGCGGTAGTCCCGGGTTCGAGTCCCCGACTGTGGGGAGCCGACCTAATGCGGCAAGGTCGCCCGCCTGAGCCCCCGTTGCGTTACAGTATTGTATGTATTGTACTATTATTATTATTGTATCATTCGTTACACTGTGGCTGTGTTGTCTGTGTAAAGCTGCTGTTGCACTGCAATTTCCCTCACGGGATCAATAAAGTATCTATCTATCTTCACCAGTCTCGATCTAATTAGCAAAAATAGTTCTCAACTCTTTACCTGGAGCGCTGTGGAGCGAGGGTGTGGGCGCTCTGTGCTCGTTTGGAATGAAAGACGCCATTCCAATACAACGCGCACACACACACAGCGACTCTCCCTTTAATATTAATATCCTATTTATTGTGCAAATCCGGACTGTGCAGCAACAACCGCGTGTTTTTCCGGTTTTGGCTCCGCCACAGTAAACGCTGCAGCCATTATCAACCGTGCCCCAAAATAAAATGACAGAATTCACTGTATCTCTACCTCTACGAACGTTTTAGCCCAGATAGCACACCACACACCTGTCCAGTCCACGACCCAGTTCAGTATTACAGCGGCAACCATACCGCAGTGCAAGAAAATTATTTTATTTAGACAGTCAGGATACTTACTGTTCCTCGGAGTGTTTGTCACATAGGGCCGAAATGGAGATAGCCCCAGCCACCGGGGGTGTCTGATCAGTCCGGCGGCAAGCACCCTGAGTCCAGCACGTCCACAGTACAGCATGTTCGTGGGCGCAGCCATCTTTGATTTCAGGGACAGCGCCAGCTAATACCTCCGTCACCTGACCAGACCTGGACACGAAGCCTCACATAGTGCCGTCATAATTGTTATCACGTGTTATGGGTGAGTTTTTAAATGTTTTATTTAAACAACCAACAAGGAAATACAATACAAACAAGAGTACATATAACATATCCATAACATCGTCAGGGGTACATATTACAATACAAATACACTTTATGAAAATGTTTAAACAGAGTAAATAAACATAAGGTCCACACAGCTTTCATGTTTTTACATCTCGAAATAGTCTGCAAATACGCCTTTACATGTATTTTGAACTGTTCAAACATAGGCCTCTTTCCAGACCATTTCACTTTGTGTATATAATAACAGGTGACTTTTTAAAAAACGGTTGACCGTTAAATACAGCAGAATCTATTCTCTTACAACACCTCTTTTGAGAGAGGATGGCTTCAGACTTGTGTTTAAGGTATGCGAGTAACAAAGCTATAAACACAAAAAAATTGGAAACACTGAGCTAATTGAAGCTAGTTTTACTGTAGAAATAAAAAACAAAATGTTCAGATGTTTATATAGGGTGACCATATTTTGGTTTTCAAAAAAGAGGACTGGGGATAATCAACACTCATCACATGCCTCCAAAGTAATGAATCTTTATTACTTTTTCTAATTAAAAAATCAATCTTAACTCTCTAGTTTTTATTAAACTTCTTAGTAAACTTTTAAACAGTTGCAGGGTTGCTATTTCTCTTCCATAATGGCAAACAAGGAAAAAACTAAAATATAGCCCTATTTTAAACTTAGTTTTTTTTTTCATTTTAACACAACAAAAGTCTTTACATCTGCTGAAAAAATAAAGACAACACTGGTTGCAAAAATGATAAATTTTATCTAAACATTCTGAAGTACAATGAAACATATTAAACATTGTTGTTTGTCATGGCCATCAAAACAGCCACACACACAAAAACCATTTTCAAGCTTCACTGCGTGTTAGTTCAAAACATCTAGCGGTAATACAGTACATGGAACGAACGAAAATATGTAGGCCTGTGTTTGTTTACACAGTCTGAGTAACGAGCAAAACAAAATCCAGGACGATTTTTGGAAATCTATCAATCCCTGTCGGACCGATATTTTAGGTCTCAAAAAGAGGACATGTCCTGGAAAAAGAGGACTTCTGGTCACCCTAGTTTATAGGTAAATATCTTGTAATTGACATCAGGGGATGTTATGCTATTCTTGTACACAACAAGATTTTGTATTTTGTTACAAAACACAAGAACTTTGCAAAGCAAAGGAGTGTTCTCACCACTATATATGAATGGTCAGGCTGTAGAGGTGGTGGAGAATTATAAGTTCTTGGACACCTCCATCTCCATTACTCTAATATGGGAGGTCAACACATCCAGCATGGTCAAGAAAGCTCACCAGGGGCTGATATTTCTGAGGCGGTAAAAGAGGTTTGGAGTGTCACGGGAAGCAACCCTCTTTTACAGGTCAGTCATTGCGACTGTTTTTACTTTCTCCGTTGCTGTGCGGTTTGGCAACACTTCTGCCCGGGACAAGAAGCCGCTAGAGAGAGCAGGGTATATCACCTCCAAAGCTGGAGGACTCACCCCACCTCTCCAGACCCTTCCCAGCCTGCCCAGCCTCTGCTCACTTGCCTCCCCTCTGGTAAGAGGCTCAGCTCTATCAGGACTGGGACTACCAGGTTCCTGAACAGCACCACCCAGAGGCTGTGATTTGCATAAACTCTGCACTTCAGTTCTGACCTTTTTGCTCTGTATTCTATCAGGCCCCGCTGTGGTTTATCACTGGTGCGTTTTCAGGATGGATTGTGAATGTTTTTATGGGACGCTGTCTACTATCGTCTTTATGTTGTACATTTGTATTGTGTCTTTATTTGTATGAACTCAACAAACCAAATTCCAAGCAGCTGGTTGTTATGGCAATAGAGTACTGAACTTGTACAATGCACTTGTGAGTGTTTTGTAGAATATTGTGTACAATTCCTGTCACAACATTGTAGTAAAGATATTGCTGCTCTGGAATCAGGCCAGACAAAAACAACCAGATACATTCTGGGGCTGTCGGGAATTTCCTACACTGATGGGTTGAAATAACTGAACCTTTTAGTGTTGACCAGAGACGACTCTGAGGGGACCTGATACAAGTATCCAAAACCCTCAAAGACTCAACACAGCAGATGTCTTCAGAAGGGACAGTGAAACACAACCTAGAGGACTGAAAAACAGGAGGCACTTGTTTACGCAAAGAGTTGTGGGGGTATGAAACTAGCCAGCCATGTTCTTCTTGATGCAGACCTGACTTCTTTCGAGAAATAGCTGGATGAGCGGATCAATCATAAAACAAAGGGGCTAGATGCTCCAAATGGCCTCCTCTTATATGAAATAGCACTTCTCTTAAACCTTTTGAGATCTGTGTCGTATTGCGTAACGCTATCCCAGGAAATAGATCACAGTCGCATAGCACTGTAATCTATTTCAGGCTTTATAAACAATGATGTGCAAATTCTATTGATGAAACTTAAAGGCCAGTATCCCTTGTTGTACAAACTGCAAACACTGAATGTAATAGTGAGATCAGTGTAAGAAACAGGGTCTGTGCCCAAACACATTCTGATAAGTGAAGCTGCAGAAGGTGTCATAGAAGGCACAGAAACATGTGGTTTTGATCAATCCAATTTATTTCAGTCTGTGAGGAGCAGTGCCCACCCTGCTCGGGGTCGGAAGGTATCAGAGGATCGTGGGGACCTGTGTGCCCGTCATTCTGGCGTCGCCCTTGCTCCCGAAGTACAGTGGCATTCAGTTCTTGGCAATGATCTGTTAAAGGGAAGAAGGGGAGGAGTCCAGACAGATGGACAGATCAGTCTTCCTGCCAGGCAGCCAAGTCAAAGACCCTGTGGCAGCACCGTGTTTGAGCTGGTGTCCATGTCTAAGAGACACCAGACTTTGTTCCCGCAGCAACAACCTGCACTGTTCTGCCATAAAACGTTTGATCATTGATGCTGAAATCCACTCCAGACCTAACCAAATGATTCAGTGCGCTGCCAGACCCGCAGTATGATCACACACAAGCTGCAGTAACTACACAAGAAGTACTAGATCAGAAATAGGCAGCCTTGGCACAGTTATAGTATGTTGAGGATATAATTGAGGGGATTGAGTGCCTGAGCTACACTTTTTAACCCCAAGCCCCCATGAGTGACGTGGCCAACAAGCAGGCATGATCCCAGCGGTCTGATATCCTTACGTCCTCCAGCCAGCCGATGTAAGCGGACACCCTGGTGAAGACAGTGGGCTTCTGGTAGTAGTTGCAGCCATAGGACGACACGAAGCTGGTCACGCCATGCACAGCGTAGTTCCCGTTGACCTGGCAGTTCAGGGGGCCGCCGGAATCACCCTGTGGGGGGGGGGGGCGAGAGAGGGCGGATCAGAGCGGAGCAGGAGCAGCCCCGCCCTCGCGTGGAAATAGAGGCCAGGGGGGTCTGAGGTGACGAAGAGCTGGCTTTCACAGACTGGCTCATTCCCAAGAGGGAAGGAATCGGGTGGCCAGCGTACCCCAGAAACCCAGTGAGTTACCTTGCCAGCACACACCACTGATCTCCCCCAATGGAGGGCCCCAGGGAGCCATCAGTTTTCCAGCAGTTGACCAGGGAAGGCAACAAAGAAGAGCAAGAGAGGAGCAAAGCGGTAGGGCTTTCAGCATCTGTACCTGGCAGCCGGATTTGTCGTAGCCGCCGGCACAGACCATGGTGTTCTTGACAGTGGAGCCCCACCAGGAGCTGCTGGAGCAGGTGCGGTAGTCCACCACGGGCAGGTAGGCCTGCTGGAGCACGCTGGCCAGCTGACCCCCGGCTGGACACAAAGACAACAGTGCTTTACACCGAGATCCGCCATGACTCACGGCTCTTCAAAGGCATGGCCAAAAGCACGGAGAAAGAATGGTGAAACAGAAAACGTCCTATAGTGCACGTTCATGGTGGAATAATTTTACAGTCTTATTTGCACAGGAGCGTATGCCTCAGAGAGCACGTACTGGACAATCAGGCATCATGCATCACTCCATGTTCCCACAGCTGTTTAAGCAATGGGCATGGAACCCATTCCCTGTCACTCAGGGCAGCAGGGAGATGCCCTGTCTGCAGTCAGCCGCAGCTGCTGGAGAGACAAGAACCATGTCCACAGAGCCATGTCCTCCGCTCTGCTCTGCTCTTTGAAGACTTGTCTCTTGTCTCTTGATTGGGACAACAGGGCAGCCCCCTGCCATTCTGACATGGAGCACGATGGCCTTAGACCTACGTTTCAAAACAGTCACAAAATGAGTTGGAACAAGTACAATCGCATTAAAAAGCAGAATTATACTATTGTGTTATTCCTGCACTTGTATCTGGGCTGTATTCTTTCTAAGGAAGTAAGTTTCCTAGGATGCCCAGGATGTCTGCTATTTAAATACACTATAGGGGCAGCTAAGGCCCTGGTTTGAATAGAATGTAGGTGGTGGGAAGGTACATAAAGTGTGAAAAGATCATTAATATAATGGCAGCATATATGTGTATGTCACTCTTGAGTCTTGTGTACTGTAACATACTGCACTGCATTGGTATTTATATCGCACTGATTGTACACATTTGGAAAATCCATTGGATGTTTTGTGTACTCCACACTCTGCATCACACTGTTTTGCTTGTTGTCTCAGTGAAGCCAGAGGGAGATTTCCGCTGTATGTGGACAATGAAGTAGATTCTGGTGAGACTGGGTCCACACTGTTAAGTGTTTAATTGGCTCTAAATCCCATTTGCCCCCCTCCCGTCAGCTCCAGTTCTGTGCGGGACACTCACTCTGGGTCCGCCCCCAGCCGGAGATGTAGCAGGGGTTGTTGTTGGGCAGGACCTGGCCAGAGGGGGGCAGGGTGCCCAGCTGCACATAGGAGTTCAGGGTGGCGTCCTGAGATAGCTTGAGCAGGGCGATGTCGTACCTGCAACCCAGGAAGAACTTGTCGGGTTTGGACAAAGAAGCCCCAGTCCTCTTCACCAATAAAGCTCTGCTGTTGCTAGACCGGTTCTGAATAAAACAGGCCCAAAATATGGCAAAAGATTTTGAATACGGTGCACACTAAGCTACCAGGAACCAAGAGGAAAATCCACCCTCTGTCACTTGGATATATACTTAGGGTCTTAAGTTACTGAAATACTTGTTATTTTTTTAAGTTATTCAAAGAAATTATTCAAGAATAGCTGGGGAGCACCACCTTTAGGATAAAAATTTAAAAAATATACGTCTCCTCTTCAGTTTAGGTGAATCTGAGGCTGCGTTTGGAGTCTGCTGTCAATTGCGCTGTGTGGCGTACTTATTTGGTAGCTCTTGATCTTTGGTGCCCCCCTAAGGCCGGAGGCCAGCACTGCACGCAGGCCAGTCTGAGGCGAGGCTCACCCGCCGGCGACACTGTTGGAGTTCCAGTTGGGGTGCACGAAGATGCGGTGGACACTGATGTACTGCTCTGTGCCGTCGCTCGAGTAGAGGGTGTGGTCACCCAGCACTACGCGGAAAGTCATAGGCCTGCAGCACACAGGATAGGGGATCTTTTTATCCCAGTGAATCCCAGATTCACACAGGCAATTCACAGAAACTATCTTGCACTGTTGGTCTAGAACTAGGGTCTGCATCAGTTTGCACAGAATATTGATCTTAATATTTAATACTTATATAACTGTTTAGTAAACCACAGTCATGTAGGTATTATATGTTTTATATATAGAGAGACACAATAAATATAAATAATAATAATTCCTTAGACCTATATAGCACTTATATAGCACTTTTCTGGACACTCCACTCAAAGAGCTTTACAGGTAATGGGGACTCTCCACCACCACCAGTGTGCAGCCCCACCTGTATGATGTGACAGCAGCCAGAGTGCAGCAGTACTCTCCCCACACACCAGCTATCAGTGGAGAGGAGAACAGAGTGATGAAGCCAATTCATAGATGGGGATTATTAGGAGGCCGTGATTGGTAAAGGCCAATGGGAAATTTGGCCAGGACACCAGGGTTACACCCCCTACTCTTTGCGAGAAAAGCCCAGGGATTTTAATGACCAAAGAGAGTCACAACATTGGTTTTATATCTCAGTGACATCAACTGCAACTGACCTGTTCTGAAGGTGATGTACTGTAGAAACTGTGAAACACCCTCTACTCCCCAGTGTATATAGGGGCTGGCCACTCCTAACTAAACACATTAGAACTATGGCTTAAATTGCTGAAAAACTTAACATTCACAAACTGACGATGGCAGTTTTCAAATGTTATCCTGACATATTGTTGTGTTCTATGAACGCAGATTGATCATACCCCGCTTTGAGGAACAGCTACTGCTATCAAAGTGAACATGGAAACCTGGGTAGCTCGTTTGGCAGAATCATGTGATCTGGGTTTGGAAGAATTTGCCAAATTGTCATGATTTGTGGTCCAATTTCTGCCAACCACAGCTCACCAACCAACCTGACTTTTGCCCTCCAGGATCACTGGGTATAGTTTGGTTATTTATGATCGTGCAATAATATCAACTTATGGCACGTTCAGCGCTTTCTGTTTTAGTTGAGGTTTCACACCAGACAAAGATGAGACTGAACAAAGAAACCGCCAGGCGTGGTGCTGATGAGACTGGCGTTACCTGTCCACACAGTGGGCAGCGGTCATCACCCAGCGCCTCCTGATCAGAGTCCCTCCGCAGGTGTGATAGTAGCTCCCCCCAGAGAGATACTGCAGGGAGATCTGCCAGAGGGAGAGAAAGTGAGCACTGGGCAGTGAACGACTGCAGGTACACAGTTCATGTAGGGGGGGGCGCTCTTTCCTCTTTCCCGGAATGTCCCAGCCAACGTCCCAGAATAGGGACTGGAGATTGTGCTGTGGAACGTGCCATTCTTCTGCTAAAACATTAAACTGCGGTTCTGATGACTAGTCCTTTAAAGATCCCAGGACACTGTTCTTAGGAGTAGGGCTCTTAACTCCACTGACCTGGCTAAATTCCATTCAGGGGTGCTACAAATTGGTCTCTGTAACTTTCCCCTTCATTCAATTGATGAAGATGCTTCTCCCTCCTCCCCCTGTTTCTGCTGTGTGTCACCCAGGTGTGTGCTGCACTTCAATGGTGAATGCATGGAGTCTGCTCCTGTATCTAAAGAGTGTTGGGATCCTTGGGATCGAAAAGCACCATATAACTTTGAGGAATTATTAAGACAGTACTGATCCACATATTTTATCCCTGAAAGTCCCCTGGCATCAGAGCCACTCTTGCCATTATTTAGGGGGGTGCCCAGTCCCCTCCTTAATGAATGGACATTCCTTAGTGGTTAATTAGCCCAGTAATCATCTGTGTTAAGGAGAAGGAAACCCAGGGCACCTGGGAAAACGTCCTGGGAAAACTCCACATGGAAGAACACCCCAGTGGCACCAGCCTCCATGTTGGACTCGGTATGAAGCACTGGGTCACCAGGCTTTAGAAAAATATGTTGCTGTCAGACTTTCCTCTAGATTTCCAAGAACACGCGCAGACATTTCAGAGAGCTGCCCTCACTGAGCTTTGCACACAAAGAAAAAAAAGTCTGAAATGAGCTGCTAGTTTCTTCACACTCGCCCCGGCAGATATTAATCTGAAACAAAACAGAGCTACATTGTCCAGCTTCACTTGGAAGTGCATATGGGGGTTCGTTGTCAAATACAATTTTGCACAGTCAACTTTCTATTTTCAGGTTTATTTTTTCATTCACATCTCTGATGGATGTAAAGCCTGTAACACAGACAGAGGGGCATCAGTCTAGTGCCTCTGTAAGCCTCTCTAGTGCTGATACTCAGTTCTAAGGAGGTAGGGTGTGTGGGGGTGAGTGGGGAGTGTCCGATGCCCCTGGGGGGGACTTTGGTGCCACTCACCTGCCAGGGCCAGGAGTGGGGCCTGGCGTTTTCTCCGTTCACCACACGCTCGAGGCCAACCGCATCCTCCAGGTACTGCACCTCCTCTGCCCACGCTGCGGATCGCACACCGCCACACACAGGCAGGCACAGGGGAGAGCAGTAAGTATGCTGCACAGGACAGCTGCACAGCTCAGGCCTTCTTCCATGCTGACCGCCATGGGCTGCTGTTCTACATGCCAGCAGCCAAGAATCCCATTGCATAGCAGTCCAACCCACTCCAGGTTTTACTTTCTGCAAGCTCTCGTGGCAACTTTACTGGTTAGCCAGACAGGCTTGTGACGTCAAAATAACAGGAACATTGCTTGTCTAGCGTATTAGGGTAACAGATCCAATCCAGATCCAGGCCACGAGAGTTTTCTTTGCATTATATTCTCAACTCCACTCACATGGAACAAAATGGGTAGGAAAATTTGTCAAAAGCTCGCCTACTTCTCGATTTTAAATGATTAATATTCAAAATAACTTCAAACTTTCAACTTCAAAAACGAATGAACACGAATGATCAATTTAATTTAAATGCATTTCTTAATTGTGCAGAGCACCCTGAGGCTGAATGGGGAGAGGAGTTCTTACCGAACACGGCGAGGGTCGTCAGAAGCAGAAGTCTCAGCATGGTGGCACCAGGTGTCAGTGTTCACTGTACCCACCTGAATGCACTGCTGTCTTCTTATACAGTGCAATGCTCTGTCACGTGTCCCAAGGTCACAGCTAAAGTTATGTGTTCCTTCTTTTCCCAGCCAGTGGGAAAGGTCCAGCTGAGTCGCTAAAGTGTGTGCCCAATCCCAGGATTATCTCAGGAGACCAAGGCTGGCCCTTCCAGAGGCATCTTGTTTTCCATATCCTTGTCTGTTATTGATTTTTCCCCTTTGTTAATGCAAAAGAAGGGTCAGGCTCACTCCTGGGCTGAATTGCCAGAGGCAAGACTGAAGGCATCATGGAAGTGATACAGTAAGGAAGGTACCACTACATAACTGAATCCGGATCTGCGGTTCTCCAAGATCCCACTGAAGAGCCCACTGGGCCTCTGGGAGCAGTAAGATCATCTTGAGCAGGACATGATCAATCTTCCACAAAACATGGAATTCTCTCCAGTCCAAGCCCATCGGCTGGGCTTTAGCAGTGAGGCGAGAAGGTACTGCTTCTCCTCTACCTCTGCCAGTTTTCAACAGGGCTATGTTCAGGCCAGGACTGGTGATACCACACTGTCTGGTTTCTCCTCAAGCCATCCAAGTCATTCAGGCAGTCTACTTGAGCAGTGGGTGTAGCGCACCGGGACAGAACTGGACTTTTTAGTGAGTCACACAGGTACAGGCACCCATGTCAATGACTCCTCCAGCTCACGAAACACCCCTGGACTTTGTGAAGCTGAAAGCCAGCAGCTGCAGCCAGCGACTTGTCTGGGTCAAACTCAGCCTGCCACAGGCCCCTGCCCTCTGTGGGAGTCAGGCAGCTGTGCCCATCCCTCGCCCACCTTGTTCCTGGAACAGAGTGCAGAACAAACAAGCCGGCAGAGATTAGGTCCCTGGAGCTCTGCATAGCACCCTTCCTGTCTCACATGGGTCCCAGCACACCCCATCAAGGAAGGACTCTTAAAGGGGAGCTGCAGTCCCACTTTCTCAGACCGGTTATTCAATTTCAGTAACCGAATAAATTCATTGATGGAATGGGAAAAAAACGACAAATTCCCAAATAAGCACAAAACATGAACTTTGTGAAAGTACTCTAAATCGCCATGTTGTCTCAAACTTGCATTCGAGTGGCCCTTCCTGCTCACTAGTCACTGTAATGACTGATGACATGTGATGTACAAGCAAGTAAGTACAGATTGTACAGCAGACATTTCGCCGCAGAAACATTCCAATGTGATCTGCGTGTGGAGTTAAATTAGTATTTGTCGGCAAAACCGTCTGGAAGTCAAGAAAAATATTTCTATTGGATTATTATAGATGTGTTCACATGCATGTGTCATCATAACGTCGTAGGGCCGCTTCACCTCACTGGAAGCTTGGTTGTCTCCTCCTGAATCGCAGAACATGGCTCTGCGCATACTTGAACATTTCGTTTGATGTAAATTCAAGTTTTTACCCTTTACTGTGTACATTTGACTTTTTTTATGGTTTGAAATGCATTCCTCATTGCCGATGCTCTCTAACCCCAAAATCTAAAATTAGCCTTGCAGTCCCCTTTAAGCCTTTTGCTGTCCAGACAGAGCAGGGATTCCTGCATTTAAATCCTGCGCTGCTGAAAATCATGCCACAGGATGACCTGGGCCATGACACCGCAGAGCCAGGGCTTCCCACGTTCATACTTTTCCAGCAGTGGTAGTACCGCAAAGTGAAAATTCATTTGAATGCTGCAGAATTTGCCAATAATCAGTGCTTACTCACGAATCATCCAGCGCATGGAACGTGCTTTAAGTTTGTTATAAATTCATGCTCCCCACATGGAAGTAAGCCAAAGTCAAAAACCGAGCCAAATCTCCATCTGTCTTTATTACCCACATGCTTTAAATACCGACAAACCATTGACCCCCGCAGGACTTGGGGCCCCGTCCTCATGCGTTCATTGTAGCGGGGTTTTAAACAATCAGAAAAAACAGTTTGGATCAACTGAAAAGTGTTACATCTTTTCTATATTAACCAACCCAGAATGGGTTCATTTTCTTCCTTTATTTCCCCATTGTCTTTTTAATGGCAACACGATGCTTTGCAATGTTTCTAATTCCTTGAAGTTGTCAGCACATGTTTTTCTTGCATCGTGTTAAAGATTAGCAAGATGCTTATTAGATGACGAAACAGCAACTCGGCTAAATGCCACTGGGGTGGGGGTGGGGGTGGGGGGGGCACAAGGCTAGCTTAAGCACATCAACACCATCTTCTAACAATTTGCAGCATGTAGTGATAAGCAGTTGGGAGATTTGGGGATACGATGCATTGCAGGACACCTATAAAACAAAAAAAAATGAAAAACAACAAGAACTGCTTCCCAAAAACCTTCCAAACAAATTGTATGAACAGCCATCTCAACAGTACCTCCATGATTCAATGCCAAGGAATCGGACACTGGTCAGGGGTCGTTCCAGACATGCTTTGTTGTGTGCCATAGCCTCAATACGATCACCCTCTTCAAGACCGCAATACAGAGCACTGTCTAATGGCAACACACTATTGCCAGTAGGCTTCTTCAATCAGGAATCGCTGCCTGACCTCTCAGTAACAGCCAACATCATGCCTCAAGATTCAATGGATGAATTGGCCGTTTTCTTATCTGAGCCTTTAACAGCCGAGATGTTAAAGAGAAGATTATCTCCTGGACTGCAGATCCCATTTGCCATTGCCTGCAGGCAGCACAAACTCTCCTGTCTGGCACTGCAGAACTGTAGCAGGTGCAAGAATAGACAACTCTGACAGCGAGGACCACTTTCTCTCCATGACAGTACAGGAGTCAGTGCTGTCTCCAAACAGCACATTTCCAAACTAAGTGGATAATAACTCATGTAGAACTTACCCTAAATGGCATTTAAGCACCCACAATACTGTCTTTATTAATCTAATGTTCATCCCATGAACTGAAAGTTGGCCAATACCATGTAAATCATGTGTTTTAAAAAAACAATACGCTTTCAACCACTTTTGTAAAAACAGATTTTATTTAATTGCCAACAGTAAAATACATCAATAAAAAATTACATTTCCCCCAATATGGGGAGAGAGAAATTCCACCACAATCCAGAGTAATTTCATCAAACGCTTCAAATATTCGTGTTTGCAGATTTATATTTACAACTTAAAAATGTCTGTGGAAAAAAAATAGTTTAAAATAATAGAAGGACTGACCCAGTGCAACTGTGTGACAAACCTACACAGTCCTGAAGTGAAAGGCAATGCAACATAATGACCTGGAAAACAAATACAACTGTCTTTTCTCCTATTGCTCCAAGGTTCTCACCACCAAGAGGAAAATACGATTCAAACTGAATAACTTTCAAGCATGTTTTAGTGTTGTGGTTTCTTTGGTTTTGACAGGTCTTATGCTGGTTTGTTGTCTAATGAACAAAGGCAGCTGAAAACTCAAATACCCTGCATCTGTCGCAAGATTATCCTTTTGCCCATTATGCTGGATATACGGTTACACTAAACTGTTTTCTCAGCAACATCTCTTTAAAATTACTGAACAATCGACTCTAGTCAGCGATTTTCAGGAACTTACTAATTTAAGGTACAGGATGTCAGTTCGTGTGTAGATAACACATGCAGATATACAAAACTGTTAAAACAGACGTGTGTTTGCAACCATGCACTACAAACTATAAACTCTGGTGCCCAAGGCAGACTAAGGGCTACAATCACAGCCTTAGTAACTGTGCTAGGCCTCCATGTTGATCCAGTGACTGAGACGGCCCATATTCTTACAAGGCCTCAGGTCACAGGTCAAAGCCCCTGAGAGGCCTCTGGATTGGCAGGACAGACACCCTGAGAGTTCTTATTCCATCTTTAATCAAGCTCAAGGCATTGCAGTTAAATAAAATGTAGGCAAAAACCTTTTTTTTCAGTTCATTTCCAAAAAATGTATGTGGATTGAGGTGAATCACTCAAGGTCTTGTAGAAACACTCGGAGCAAGGAGGAAAAAAAAGACTGGCACATCTGGGTCAGCCCCCTCACTCTAAAATATCAAGCGTGGGAGAAACAGAAGCTATAAACATATTGCACTTACACCACTGACGTGGGGGGTTTCCCAATAACTGGACGTTTAGCCCCTCTGTCTCACTGTGACTTATCCAAATTCCTTGAGGAGCTGAGGGCTGTGCGAGAGCTTCTGAGGACCCTGTCACTTTCCCTCAGGAGACCCAGGCTCCCAGGAGGCCTGGACACCTCTGCCTCAGAGCGAGCAGGACAGTGGGAGAGCTAAGGGCCGGCTCCTGCTGTGGGACAGGTGCGCTTTGAGAAGCGGCAGCGCAACACGTGCTGGAGGCTACGGGCGCCTGCGCTCTCAGACAATCTGCGAAAAGAGCCGAAACTTCCGCTGTGATGAGGCTGCCAGCCTGTTAACGGATGGAAAATGACACACGCGTGCCTTGAAAGGTTTAGCAGCTTCGGAGTGCAGGTATTGCCGTTTTCATTACCCTGCTACTCCACTTTTGAACAATAAAGGCCAGAGCTCAGCACCGGCTACTTCAGTGGTGGTATAGGCCAAGGGGCTTGCGAGGAATATTTGAAGGCCACAAAGGCATAACAGAAGAGTTGGAGAAAATGCACTTCGCCTAACATCGCCCCCCATCTGCCCTTGGCAACACACTGAAAACACTTGTCAAAGAGACATGGCAGTGATTGGTAAACCCTCCAGTTTTTAATTAATATTTATAAATGAGGCCCAAACCATGCGTCTTCAGTTCCTGGATGAAGCTGCACCTCTGAGTGGCCTATTCAGATTGTCTTGGTTTCCGTGGCAGTCAGTGTGGATTCAAGGAGCAAGCCACACCCACCACCCATAACCACGCCTGGCTCCACCCCCAGCCCCGCCCACACCCAGACATACCCCACCCCCTCTAATCAACCTTAAACCTTTCCCGAGTGGCGCCTTCAACCTTCCAGGAGCCAAACATCTCCGTTCTCGCAGTGTTCACACCGAGTCTTACTACAGTAAAGATTGCAATTTTCCACAGTGAAATAACCAAGGCAAACAGGATCAAATCACTGATTTGAAAAGTTTCAGAAAAGGGGGGTAAAATATCATTTCAGCATTTGTATGTAAAAGATTTGGCACAAACAGAATGGAAAAAAAAAACAAGATTTCTCAGTGAGTCCTGGGATATTCAGATGATTGCTATTATTTTACCATTATTTTTCTAATGAACACAAATGTTTATGCTACAACAGCACAGATCTTGCAAACCTTCCAAAGTGGGCAATGTTATTTGAGATAAATATTAATCAGACCTAACCTGAATTAAGTACAGGGTGGATTAAAGATCAATAAAAACAGGGAAATTTGGGGGTAAAATCACTTTGAGAGCATGGAACATGCAAAACGATTGCGTGGTTGTTATGCACTGTCATAGGGAAACGCACATGAACACAATAAGCACCAAGACCAATTGCAAAAGAGACTTGGCCAGTGCACTACACCAAAGAGTCTTTGTAGTTCCAAACAGTCTGAAAACAAACTTGACCTTTCTGAGTCCCTGCAAAGAAATGCTTGCCTGAAAGCGTGACTGGAGCTTGGTATCCCAGCTGCAGTGGAGAGGGGCATCAGATGGCCCCAGTGGAGTTTTTTGGTTTAATGAAAGGCAAGATTTCCTTGCCTTTCAAGATCTATGCCTTCTTGCCCACCGTGTACGGCAGCTGGGTGCCCTGCCTGATCCCCTAAACTCTGCAATGGGGGGAAAAGAACCCCAATCAGCACGCCTCATAATGTCTCCCATTCCTGCAGCTTCAAGGCTCCCTGTCGGAGGAGGGCGTGAGGATCTTCCGTCGTCGCTCCAGCACGGCCCAGATGGTTTGGTTTCACGGATTCTGCTGACAAACGGAGCCAGATGGAGGTGGTGGATGGATGGCTAAGGTTAAAAAAACAAACAAAAGGAGGAAACCGCAGAGTGCTGAACACCTGTAGAGCAACTTCCAACACCTCCTGTTCAGCACCGGCAGATCCCAGTGGCTCGAGTGCAAAATCGATCCCCATGGTTTCAACTCTTCAATAAGTGGTGCACATATAATCTCACGACTGAAAAACATAAAAAGAGCACACAAAAAAACAGCCTCCGCCCTTCATCACTCGAAACGTAGTCTGTGCAGGATTTGGGTCTAGGCTCTACGTGACACCAGTATACAGATGTTTATTTTTCCTGGTTTTGTGATAAGATGTTCCAGGTTCAATCTCCTGTTAGTTCGTGTTCATATACTCGCGTCTTGATTGCAGTTCTCGAAAAATACAACCCCAGTGTCTGTAAGCCCTCTTTCTTTAAAAACTTAAGAGGGCTTCTCCAATAAAATATTGAGAAAAACACATTAAAAAGCTAAAGGCACTTATTGGATTGATCCAGGTTTTGGACTAGGTACAGCATCTGGAGAGCTCCATCCCAACGTGGAACAGGGGAAATAGCAGGAAATACTGAAGCCGGTCAGGAAACAGAAAAGGATGGTGGTCTTTGGCAGAAACAACTCTAGAAATCCCAGACCTGGATTTCATTTAGTTTTTCTCTTGTATTAAAAACCAACCCCAGGTATTGTTTTCAGGGCAGTTTTACATGTGTAATTTTGCATCGAAAGTTAGCTTTTTGAAAAATAACCCCACATTGTTCCCGCGGCTGAAACGTGTTGCCAAGAGGCTCTCTGTGTGATTGATTCTAGCACCAAGAGAAATCAAACCGGACCCCCCAGTCCCTCACACCCAGACAACAGGGGCTAGCCGGTCGTGAGCAGAGACTGCGGACAGCGTCCCCCAGAGACGAGGCTGAAGGATTAGAGACAAGATGTGGGTACGAGGCACAGTGCTGGGGTTACACCTGGCCACTGCCTCCATTGTGCAGGATGGAAGACAGGAAGTAAGCCTGTTTTTCCTTTATTTCTTCCTAAAAATAACTCCTCCTAATCCTGCTAAGCCTCGTGTTTAATTAAATTAAAGTAAACATTCATTTGTGTTGTTTTCTTTCTCTTTAGTGCAACACGGTGGAGTTCCAGTGGACATCCTCCTGTGTCTAAACTAGAGACTTTGTTTTCCGTCTTTGGTTTCCATGACAATCTTGTGGGTTGCTGTTCGTTTTCAGGGGTCTTTCGGTTTTGGCGCCCGCTTCTTTTTTCTAGGCCTCAGATGCAGCCTGAGGTTTCAGTTGGGCTTTCTCCATTGCAGTGCCGTAGGGAAGAGATCGTTTGAAGAAGCCAAGCTGTGAGAGTAGAGATAAACAGAAGACGGATGTTTAATCTATAAGCTTCCTTCACGCTTTTACACAAATAAAACCATTGGAACAAACTTCACGTTGTCATTCTTGAACAGAATGTGGCTGCAATGTATAAAGAAGTCATTATTTGGCTGTTACTGTAAGGTGTACACTAACTACACTGGGGTTTTAGTTTCACAATATGGACAAAGCAGAACCTTTCAGGCAGTTCTGAGTACAGAAAACTGTAAGGGCAGCGATCAGATGTAACTACATTCATCCACTAACACTTGAGAAGCCCCAGAGTTACCAAAAGAGAAGTACAGGCCTTTAGAAACAATCTCTCCTGATTACTGGCCATCAATGAGCCAATAAAAGTCTGAAAGGTTAAAAAACAGACTCACTGCCACCTTATGGGGCACCGCTGGAATACGGTACAGAGCTGGAATGAATGAAGACTGTGCGCGGGATGCTTACTTTATATAACACATAGATGAGCAGAGCTAGGAGCAGGAGACCAGCTAAAATGGCCAGGATGATGATCCAGAGGGGAACAGCGTACTGGCTGTCCGGCTTGTTCCAAATCACCTGCGTGCTGACCTGGGGCGGGAATGGAATACAGTTTTAACAAGGAAGACGTACTGCATTCAAAACTGCGTGTCGTCTTGCACAGAGCGATGGAAGTGAACTCGTGCAAAACACCTACAGACATCTATTGCTGTTACGCTGCAAAGGAGCGAAAACAAGAATACTCCCCTTGTTTAATCCACCCAACGAGAGACGATTTCTTGCCCTGATCCTCTAAACTTTGGAAGGCACTGATCAGTATGTAGAACAACAGTTCTCTAGCCCTGGTCTTGGTAAACCCCAGCCTAGACCGTCTAGTAGGTCACACAGCAAAAACACTTTGAAATTACTGACCAATTAAAAAGCCAGTTTGTTCTATTGAGAGAACTGTCATCTGCCTTCAGGGCTGAAGTACATTTTGATTGTTTTTTTATATATCTCTAAATAGCTTAAAAGCAAAGTGCTTTTTGGATTGCTGACAATTAATTACTACACCAAATAGTCTCAGGACAGCAGAGCTAAAACAACACAAATCAAAAATCAACCAAATTACAAGAAGCCAAACAACACTACCATACCCACTGGGACACACATATACAAGCACAACACAAACTGGTCGTTCTACAGAATCCTAAACAGACAATACACACTATCTGAATAGCTGACCAAGGTAGGAAACAGCAAAGTGAAACCGACCCTTACAAAGTACAGGCTCAGTGACAACAATCTGGCCATAGAAACTGGGCAACTCAGGCAGACCTGGCTGCCCCCCCCCGCCAGCGGGGAGAAACAAACGCTTTCCACTGCACTGCGAGAAATATTCTGGGATTAGACAAACATTCTTCACCCAGAATAACAAATCCAATCCCACAATCCCCACACCTGCCAGAATCAGAACAGCCTCTACTGGGAGAGGGGGGAGAGAACTCAGTGGAGCTGGCAGCAAAGTACGTGATCTCCTGTCACAGCCTGAGGAACAGTGAGCCTCTCTCTCCATCATGTTCTATGTGTTGTATGTTGTATGTAAATATCCTTGGAAAGATTTGGATTATAAATATCTGAAGATATTGTATTGGATGTATATGCAGTCAATTACACTGTAATTTACCAGTCATGCCAATAAAGCTTGATTGAGATTGAGTTTAACAGGTCTTTTGAAAGCTTGCTTTAGCCGTTACCTATACAGCATAAAGCTTTCCTAGTCCAAGGCTGGAGACCCCTGGGGTTCAGAATAAACGGCTGATTAGCTCCACGGATTTTAACTGCTGGTCAGTGGATGGGAAGACAAAGCCATGGGGTTCACAGGGCACTGTGGAGTGTGAGCACGCAAGGCGCACATATCGCACTGAGGCGGAGCCCTCTCAGAAGCTGAGCATACCTGTTTAGATCCAGTAGGCGGCTCCCTGGGCAGGATCTTGTAGGGCATTTTGAGAACGTTGTAGGTTGCAGTGCACTCCAGGACATAGGGGTATGTTCTCTGCAAAGCACAGATTTCCAGATCTAAATAAGTCACAGAACTCTGCACAAAATCTGCTGACCTTTTCCAATCCCCAGGAAAACGCTTATGAAAGCCCCCAAATCTGCAAAACTGTGACAGTCAGGTAATAAAAAAAAACATTGCTGCTGGCCACCAACTGACATTTTTACAGCCTCCCAGCATCCACCCCTTACAGGTAAAAAGAACCTCATTATAGGCGTGTAAGGCAGGCCGTGTCTCGGTATCGACACAATGTCTCAGTTGACACCTGAAGAAGGCTCCATGGCCGAAACGTTGTGTTTCTTTTCTTCTCTTTTCAGTGTGGAATAGACCTTTACTTGTTCCTTTGCAGCCTACGCATGCTGACGCAGCTCCCTACTAGAACTACACGTCTCAGTACGCACACTTGCAGTCTTATTCCCTTCATATCTGTCCTGCTGCTCAGGTCAGTGAGGGCTCAATCTGCGTTCCAACAGTGCCCTTTATCGGAGCAGACTCAGCTGAGGAAAATTCCCCCCCAACTCAATAAAAGTGTTAGTAAATTTTTTTTTAACAGTTTTAAATCTTATATCTTACATAAAAACAATTTCAAGAGGCTACTTTAGATTCATATGTATTCTAGGTGTGTTGACATAAAGGTATATCGTCACCACATTTCGACTGAATACTTGATTTCTTCAGTGTATTTTGTACACGGAGAGACTGTTTAATAGTACGAAACTTTGAGGTATCGTCAAGTTTACCATGTTTAGTTTAGTGTGTTCACCCTGAATCAATCCTGTTTAAAATCAAGAAACGCGTTACGTTCTTCGTACTGTCATTTTTGTACTGGTGCAGGCTAAATGAAATGTATTTAATAGTACAAAGCTTTGAATAAACTGAGCAGTATTGGCAAGTTTTCCTTTACTTCGCCCATTTTGAGTCGAGCCTGCTCAACATGAGTGAACACAGTGTGTCACTACTCGTGCGGGGACAGACGAGATGAAATTCAATTTCATCCAACCGCAACCCGAGAATGAAAAAAATCTTTTTAAAAAATCCCTTAAGACTTGCACTTAGCCACTGGAAAAGAAGCATCAACAACAGAAAGCATTCTGACCCTGGCCCGTGTAGCCAGCGAGTGACGTCACGTGAAAGTGTCCCATTACCCTTTTGATAACGGTGCTCCCTCGCATGCTTGCACACTTTCAGTCCACACTTGCGCTACATCACAGAAGTGCGGACCTGCGGGGAGTGCTCAGGGCCCAAGTCACTCATCTTGTTCGTGTAACAGAATTACTCGATTACTCCAGCAGAGGGCGCGGTTGTACTGTCTGAGTTCCATTTGGGAACTAAAACCGAGGTCCTGACTCTCTGTGGTCATTAAAAATCCCAGGGCGTTTCTCCAAGACAGTAGGCGTGTTACCCCGGCATCCTGGCCTAATTTCCCATTGGCCTTTACCAATCATGGCCTCCTAATAATCCCCATCTCTGAACTGGCTTCATCACTCTGTTCTCCTCCCCACTGATAGCTGGTGTGTGGTGAGCATTCTGGCGCACTATGGCTGCACGTTAGGGGTGGTGGAGAGGAGTCCCCATTACCTGTAAAACGCTTTGAGGGACGTGTCCAGCAGAGTGCTGTATAAGTGTAAGGAATTAGTACTGTGGTTCAGTATCAGTAAGTGCTGCTTAAACAGGGCTTAAGTAAATTGAGGGTGTAGTAACCTTGTGACCTATGCTTGCAGGACTGGGTGTGGATTGCCATGACCCGTACCAAGAATAAGAACCTTTCTGATATTGGATGGACACTCAGTGCATAGCAATTTGAGCTACGGGTTTTTACAACTGTCTGGTGTTTCCATATAAAGTAGCACCAGGTGCTGCATATTTACGTGTTGCTTTATTTGGAATTATCTGGAATGGACAGACAGCTGCAACTGAGAACGGTATTAAATTCTGCTTTGTCCATGTAAGTCATAAAAGAACAGACAGCCTGTAAATGTTAAAATGGCCCAATCTTCCAAGCATCTGTCGTTTTCATTCCGTCTCCAGACGGAATTTCAAGCCATTGAAAAGGCGAAACCCAAATTCTAGCCTGGAGGCCAACAGTCAGCAGGGGGCGCCGGAGTACAGCAAACAACTGCGCTGCTGCTCTGCTCTCCAGTACTAAGGCTTAGACATTCCAATCCTATGAGAACCCCAGCCCACAAGCTAATGGATTTTCAATGCACACACACTCCCGGCCGTAGATGCGTGCGCGCTGCTCATTCTCCGAGCGCTCCTGTGTAGCGTGTGTACAGACTGAAACAAGTTGGCTGGCCCCGCAAAGACCCAACGGCACCGTTTTACCTTACAGTAACTGATGGGACCTCACCCTTGGAGAGCTGCTCTTTCTGGAGTTAAATACAGAGCCAGGTCCTGCTTTGTGCTAGCAGACAGACAAGGTTAGGTTACAGCACAGGAGTCTGCTGTAGTTCCCATCACAGTGGACTGTTACCACTGAGTCTACATTGGCATTACCTGCTGTGGTTTTACAGCTGGGAGACCTCCAGTCCTGTATCTAACAGCTTCCAATGCCCTCCATCTCCCTGCTAGTGCAGCACACCTCCTTTTACCTGCAATTCTAATACCATGTCACCTTCACAATGCATTATTCAGAATACTGTACTGCATTAACTTAACTTTCGAAGAAATACACAATGCCAATAAGTGGAAATCCTGCAGAATTGCAGAACTGACTTGGTTTGATGCCGGTGCTTGGCCTGGGGTCTGTTTTTCTTGCACTGTGCGAGTTATTACCCTGTCTAGTCTCTCCACGTTTTGCCAGTAAAACACCAACATCTAAAAGGACATTGTGGCGAAACTCCCAAAAAAGAGCAAAGGGACTCAAGGAAACATTGTTGCACCAGATAACCAAAGGCCCACCAGCCCCGGACACGCTGCTTGTCAGCCGTAGCCACACCCCCACGAAAGCTTCAACCACACCCCCTGGCCCTGCCCCTCGCAAGGCCCTTGCAAAAAATCCAACCAACTTTAACCACACACCCCTGCTTCGGCCATGCCCCTCGCAAAAAGCCAGCCACGCCCCCTCACAAAGGTATGACCACACCCATCGCAATTTGTAGCCCCGCCCACACCATACCAGCCCAACCCTCGCCAGCCCTGTGCATTACCTGCGTGAAGGTCTCTGCCCAGACGCGGGAGCGGACTTTCAGGATGGCGCTGGTGCCCCTCTCCAGCTGGCCCACCTCGCAGCGCAGCCTCCAGCACTCCACCTGCGAGCAGCTCTGGAGAAGACGGGGCAGATGACAGGAGAGTAGGGTCAGAGCCGGTTCCGGGGAAAAGGAGAAGGGAAACGGGCCTGCTGGGAACTTGAACTTGCACAATTTAAGCACAATAAAACACAGAATTCCCAAATGCATTGACTTCTTATCAATAACACACCCACCACCAGGCTCTGGAATTCCAGCAGTTTTTAATCCATCCAGCACATAGGAGGTGCAGAACACGATACCCACAGTGCGCTCGTATGGAAGAGATATGGAAGCTAATGGAAATTTACCAAAAATCTGGAAAATTAAAGGCTCTGATACAAGGAAAAAACCCACAGGATTTTTGATGAAGAAGCTGATTGCTTGAAGATACAAACGACAACCTTTTAAAAAGCGACATATCAGGCCTTTGGCTCCTCAATTTTGGGGGAGGTCAAAGGTCAGTGTACAAAGAATTCACCCAGCTCTTTCCTATTCACAAGTCATGCACATAGGCACTTAGGCACTGGGGGGCGCTATTTCACAGCCAGGACCAGGTCTGGGCATCACAGCCCTGTCCTTCAGTTTGGAGATGGCTTGTGTGCGAGTGTGGTTAGTGAACCACCAGAAAATGTATCCTTCAAATGGAAGAGGAACCATCACCGCAGTTCAGCGGGAAGTACAAGAAAGCTTTCTGAAGTCAGACAACGGATTTAAAGGCAGTGACAGGCGATACTATATAAGGTAAGAGCAAGGCCGACATTCCAGCTCGCTACCAACGGCGGCCCAAGCTGTCGCCATGGCAATGCCTGGAGACAGGGAGGCCTGCTGTGGGTCTGCAGCCTGGGGCCTGGGTTTGTTATGGTCCAGTGCCAACCATGCCCCAGACCTGGGTGACCCTGGATGCCTCCCTCCAAGACTGGTCATTGACAGCGGGTTGGCAGGGAGGTGGGACCTGCTGAAAATTTTGGTCTTATAAGGTCAGGCATCAAAAAAACATTAAAAACGATTTGCCACGCCATCCAGAACATTCCAAGGCCTCCCTCTCAATTTCAAAAGTTCCTAATTGCCATTTAGATTTCTGGGGTAAATGGCGCGTGAAGAGATCACCGATACCAACTTCCCTTTGAGGTCAGCACCATGCTCTCTGATCTCATAACACAAGTTTGAGAACGGCTCAAGAACACAGCCCTGGAATTGGGAGCTCACTAGGCTGGAGAGGAGATCCTGCACAGGCAGGCAGAGGGAGCTCTGTTCTCAACACAGGCCGGGGTTCAGAACTCTGGAGGTTACTCGGCACACCGCAAGCACCTACCGCTGAATTTCCTCATTTATAACGGAGCAACTGCTGCCCCAGCCTCACTTTCAAAAGGAGTGTGATGAGAACGATAACAGTAGTACTATTTGTATCCATTTATATAGTGGTTTTCACCCCATTGTGTTTCAAATGTAGGAGGGGCCCCCAGTGCACAGCGGACCCAGGGGAGGAAAGAGGAATCGCTCCACCAGCTAAACTGAGGGAGGACTTCAGGAAAGCCCAAATACTTAAGCCCAGAGTGGAGTTTAGCTAGGACACTGTGCTTACCCTTACTCTTACACACAGCGCCATGGAATCTTTTAATGGTCAGGACCTCGGATCTCTATCTCATGACCCAGGATGCACTGTTGCAGTGGCAGGGGGGCCCTGGTTTTGAAATTGGAAATTCTGATCCAGTGGGAAGCGTGCCACCAACACCGCCCTCGGCAGCAAGCTGGCTTTCCTTAGAGATCTCGAACCCAAGTCCCGAGCCAGGCCCAGCTTGCTGAGCTTCTGAGATCTGCCGGAAGCCGTCTAGAAAGTGGTACGAATGCTGTGGATGGCACTGTACTGATTTTCAGTAAAACAGACGGAAGGCGCAGAGCCGCCATGTTTGCTTCAATGTCAAACGAGACCCTTTTTTTTTTTTACTAGCCCTGCAGTGTGCAAAATGGATGCATGAGGGTTTAATGCAGCAGCCCAGGAAGACAAAGACTCTTTCACAGAGTCAGGTACCAGGTGCGACTCACAGCTCTCATCAATGGGGCTTCTGTCCGAGCACCAGGGGAGCTCCCATTAATTACAGCTGGATCACAGACTTCCAGCCACGGAGTGAACCAATGGGCCATTAAGTGAATGACATCAAGGCCATGTGTAATAAAGCCATCAACTGCAGTGTTAGATCCAGGTGATTGATGACACGGAGAGAGCTACCCTGAACTGTGCCCCTCCAACACATTCACAAACACACCTGTACTTCTGCCAGCACCCCCTCCTTCCCCACCGCAACCCCAGACCTCCTGAATCGCCACAAGTCACGGCACTTAGCGGCCCGGGTGACCTCTGGAACTGACACTTTTAATCAGCCTGCGTGCAGAGAGCCTTGCTTGCCCTTCATTGCTCTACTCGAGTTTAACGCTGGGCGCTGAAAAGCACACAGAAGGGCAGCTCCTGAGCTTTTAAAAAACTGACGTCTGAATTTAAACAAAGCAGGAGCTGGACACATGGAGGAGCGGAGGCTGCCTACGAGGAAGGGGCAGATGTTTTGGCAAATCCGGACACCTGATCAGCATGGGAGTTCTATGGTGACTGACGTTACACCAGCAGTGGTCTGAATCCTCGTACAGCAGTGGATGACAGAACTTCAAGCTGGCGCTCCCAGTGTTTAAAATAAGCCGCAGGGCACCTGGTTCAACCACTGACTCACTGCGTGTTCCTGATCTCGGCACTGAATCAAACTGAACCCCATCTTTCATCTGAGGCAGAAATCCAAGGTCCCTGTACATACAACTCCCAGACACTCTGGGTAAGTCCCTTGACACAGTGCATTCACTTACACCTTCCATCCACTAGAGGACGTTTCAATGGGATCAATAACTAACAAATCACCCCAGCGGTACCCCCGACTTGCGCAGAGCGGTCACTCACCAACGTGCCGAGCTCGGAGAGGGGGTCTCGAGAAGCCTCTCTCTTCTGAACGCGGTGCTGATCCGGGCTGGGGGTCAGAACCAACGGCTGCTCAGTGGGCGACTGCTGGAGCTGGGGAATCAGAACCCAGAGAAGAAATAAGAGGCGCTCGATTCAGCTCGGGCTGTCCTGCGTCAGACTTTGCAACTTTCGATTTCACTCCGGCCTTTCCATTTGAAAAACCAATTTCAATTGCATATAGGATATGATCTGGAGAAGGCTAGGCAGGTATCAATGAACTGTAGACATGCATGACACAACCACAGAGTGGAAATGATCCAGAAATGTGCCAACAATCAAGAACATTTACAACAAACAGACACACAGACAGGGAGAGAGCCCGGGGTCAGAGAACAGGGTCAGCCATTGTATGGCGCCCCTGGAGCAGTTGGGGTTAAGGGCCTTGCTCAGGGGCCCAACGGAGTAGGATTCCTCTGCCGGCTGCGGGATTTGAACCGGCAACCTTCCAGCCACAGGCGCAGATCCTTAGCCACAGAGCCATCGCTCCGCCCCAATTTATCTCTATTCTACAACTTTATTGCACACAGAGCTTCCAAGAACACAATACCCAACCCTCTAACCCTTCAGGATTTAAGCTCTCCTCTGCTCTCACAACATCATGGTGTGCCAAGCAAAAACAGTGCTTCCCAGCTGCTGGTCAGGGTTTTTGGTCCAGTCCGTGCCTGTTCCATTTTATTAAAAGCGTTCACTATGGACAACAACGCAAAAGAACTAAATCATTTCTAAAGGATCTGGAAACAAACTGAGACATGCATGACTTGCCCATTACAAGGGCTTGAAAGCTACATGATGATCCATCATTCCCAATATTCCTGCAGTTAAGGGTTGGGAAGACCAAAAGGGGACCGAGAACAGGGGATTAGGAATTAGGGGTGTCATCAAGAAAACACCTGGAACATCTGGGAACAATTTTCTTTTCCATACCCATGTAATGGAGATTGCGGCGGGCTGGTTACACTGAGAGACCAAGTGATGCTGGGGTGGATCAGCACCCCGACAATGGAGCTGAATAATGGAAATGGCCCAGCTGCTGCTCGGTGTAAACCAAGGCTGTAAGCAACAGTTCTGGGTAAAATTAATTTACAAATGC